CGTTTTCTGCTAGAAGATCGAGAAGAAAAATTCAACATTTATATATTAATTTATGTGGTGTAGAAAAAAATCAAGAAAACAAAAACAGAACCATACAAAAGATATCGTTTAACTCCACACCACCCACTTTTTGCTGATATTACACTAGTACATGATGCAGCAGGTCCAATTATATATCCAGATTTGCCTCAGAATTGTGGCGGTTTACAGGTTTATTTGTATAAATATAATAAAGCTGATGATGAAATGTTTACTGTTGATATGCCTGTAAATGAAAACGATTGTAATGATGATACTGGGGATCGTCATGATTCTAATTTAGATAGTGACTATGATATTGCTACTACTGAATCAGATGATACATTCAATGATGATCATATATCAGGACAATCTGATTTTTCCGATTCTGATATTAACTAAGATGTTAAGATCACAGATAGACAAGCAGTATAAGATTAGAAAAGGCTGATGTTACATAATCTATATAGGGTGGTCCAAAAGTTGCCGAGCAGTCAGTCTTTTAGCTTTGAATAACTTTTGATAGAAGCTAGATAGAGAGCTGTGGCTTTCACCGTTCGAGAGTGTGTTATTACATAGTTCTATGTGTTGCTTAATCAAAGTGATTCCAAGAATATATAAACAAAAATCTTAGGTCTAGAAATGTAAAATGAATGTAAGTGATGATGATGAGCATAATTTTATTTAGACAAAAAGAAAAAGACCCTAAGTTATTAAATAATAAAACTTTCTGTATTAACTAGTTGTTGGTGTTTGATGAAATATACATCCTGATGGATCTGTTAGAATGCGAACACGATCTATGCGATAGGCCTTATAGTCATTGGTTGATTATGTTTAACAAGAACTAGCGTCAAGCCTTGAACATAAATATAAAGAATCGATTTCTAATGGATGTGGATGTAGGTAAGAAGAAGAACCGTACACACCCATACCTAACCCTTGTAGCAGGAAGCTCTTAAATCTGCTACCTGAAACGGGACTCTGAAAAGAGGAATAAAATGCCGCCAACATTTCTCATAGTCATCTATGGTTCTTGAGTATCACTATAGTATCTTTCATGGATTAAATTGAGATACTGCAAGACTGATGGATTAAAGTTAAACTATCTCTCGGAGTTGAATTAACTTTTCGACCAACTGCATGTTTCAATTGGGTACTAAATTTCGTAGTGAAGACCAAGACACAATGAGAAACAATGGGTTCAGTATATTAAACAATGTACAAAATCTACCTGTTCAGAAAAAAATAAATAAAACGAAAAATATAAAACTTCATGGTAGTCGAAGATGGGATTTGTCATTCGAAATTTCTTGTGGTTTGTGAAAATTTTCGGCGTTTGCGTATTTTTACGTTGAAAACGATTCAAACCTTAATAGAAATTCCAATTTTAAATAATAAAAGGCTGGAACAAGCAGAACAAAACGGGAATAATTAGATTCAAACATTCTTAAACACAAGAAGCATTATTTCATCTTAAATAGAAAAGATGTGGTTATTTTATTTCAATAATTTGTTTTAAGTATGTCGCTTGTATGGTTTTCATGATATCTGCACATATCTCATGCAAACACTCAAGCGCCTGTCTATGGAAAGAAAGTCATGTGATATGGACACATCTTGAGGTCTGCGTACGTTGAGCACATGAAAAAAAGTTTGATGCGGAGCAAGTTTTAAGAGTTAATATCATTATTCAACGACATCTATTGTTTCATCATGAAAATTGTTGAAGTGTTGCTGTCATATTTTGCTTGCCAACATGCTCGTTGATGGCTGATTAATATCTATCAAATAATCTATTAAACCAAAGCAAATTAATAATTAGATTAGAATGAATAACGACATAATCGAAAAAGAAAGTCAGATTGAATCAAAAATTGATTATGATATTTTAGAAATTGTGGTAAAATATTTTTCAAATGATTTTCTGTTTAAAAGAAACAAGGTTTTTGTTTTCTTTTTGTTATTTTTTAGCGT